AATGTATATTGCGGTATGACGGTATTTACAATACCGTTACATCCCTAATATATATATATATATATATATATATATATATATATATATATATATATATATATATATATACATACATACATATACATATATATCTATACATATATATATATATACATATATATATATATATATATATATATATATATATATATATATATATATATATATATATATATATATATATATATATATATATATAATTATTTTTCTGTGGGTCCTCTCTGAGGGATTTGGCTTTACGTTTACATAAAAATTATAATGGAAGTCACTGGGGCAGAAACAGCCACCAACATAACAAAAGTGTAGTCAATTTGAACAATAGACAAGGGTTAAGAACGGTCATCAAAAATGCTTCCTGTCACAATTTTTTTTATCAAAATTTTTATCAAAACGACATATTTCCGCTATAGTCACAGTATGACATCAATACAGTATTTATTTGTTAAAGATGTGCATATTTAGCAGATGCATACAGTAAGTGGAGCCGAATGAACAGAAATAAGAAGCGTGACCTCTTCATTTCTTCTCTCTCATGGCTGTGATTCATAACAGCACAAGCAACAGAAAATGTTCGGAGCTTAACAAAAGTTCCTCACAGGAACATGCAGCGAAGCCAACTGGCATGAGAGATCAAGTTAATGTTATTGGGATATAACATTCAGCATATAGATGCACTTTTCAGTTATTTTGGGGGGAAACATCCCAATAACTTCATATATTAGAGGTCAACCGATATACGGTGCTGCTTTGTGACCTTACTGACAATAACAGCAAACTTTAACATTTACTAGAAATCTGAACATATAAAGACACATTTTAACCCAAACGCAGAATGCTTCGTGTTGTTGTACTATATCAGTCGACCTCTATTTATATTGCTGAAGTGAAGTGTCTTCACGAAAAATATTCACTTACCATCTTGGAGTTCTAGACAAAGAAATAATAACAGAACAGCAGACTATGACTATTCCTCTGTGTGATTATTTCTAACAGTTTTCATTTTTGCCTTTATGTTCACGTTACAAAGCATCAAAATCATGTGAATGGACAATCACCGACTGCCTAAAACAAATAAGAAAACAATAAATAAATGATATAGCAAAGCAATGCAGTACGAAATAAATAAATTAAATAATGGACAACCTACGGTATGAAAATGGCCTAAAAATCAGATCAGATAGTAAAGTGAGGGACATGCTTCCTTGTATTTACACTGGCATTTTTACATACGTTGTATACAGGTAAAAGGCTGAGTGAAACATAGATGTGGCACTGCAATGCAGAGAAATAAAATCAGGTGTCGTTTTGACAACATGCTTACAGAGTGTCGTCTGAAACTAGTGCTGATGTTAAATATCAACCCAGCCAGATAGAAATGTGCCATAAGAAGAGTCCATTTACCTAGATCACCTTCTAGTCAGCGGAGAGAATGTGTTAAAGATACAAAAAGAGCAAAAACACACACAAATACGCCTTTCAATGATTATAAACCTATTAAATATGCATTTGATTTCTGTTTTTCTTTTTTGGGGTAAACAACAGCTTCAACATGCAAAATGGGTCAGTCCTGTTTTGCAGTACTTAAATCAATACAGGGACATTGGAAAATGTGCTCAGGGATACATTTTTGAGAACCGAGATACATCTGCTTGTGGGTACTTATGGCTTTCTTTTATTTACCTCTGTATTGACAGCTTTTCCAGACTGACTAATTTGCTTGGTAGCTTACCATAAACCGGACTAGAGTGTGGTGAAGCACGGTTCTGGAAACCAGGTAAAACGAAACCCAAAAAAGCATTGTGAGGTCATGGTAGAAGCACGTAGCTACAATGGCTTTTCTCATCTAATTTGCTCTTGAAAACACTAGTGGTTGGGTTTTTTGGAAGAGGGTAGTTGGTTCAGTTGATATCAACCTGATACATTTTACACGATGACAAGTCAACCAGCTTCTCTCACAGACGCGTTTGAGATGGACGTTAAGATATGCAGAAATGTCCACAGAGGCCTCTAGTGGATTTGTGAAAATAAAAACTGCAAGAAGATGTAACTCTCGGGACATTTTTCTCAGTTCTCAAAAATGTATCCCTGGGCAAATTATTCCAGTGAGCCTGGGTTGACTTTAATCAAGCATTGTTCTGCTACTAAGTTTTAAGAACATGTGCATTAAACATACTCTGGTCGAATTTAGATGCTTTAATCACTAAAAACAATAGATAAGATACGAATAGACAGATTAGATGATTTTAATAAGGAGCTAAAGGGCTTTATTTCAAAAATTTCAGTTCAAAATCTAAAGCATATGGCGCAGATTAACTTTGTGTCTGAATCCACTTTTGCTATTTTAAGGGTGGTCAAAATGGTCGTTGTGTCAGGCGCATGGTGTAAAAGTTTTGTTCCTATAGTGTTAATAAGTTATAGGTGTGTTTTGCGTGTAACATGAATTAAATCAGTCAGAGCCTCATCTCCCATTCCCTTTAAGATTTAGTTTTGTCGCGCTATGGCACATTAACTATTCACTGACAGTTTTGTAAGTGGAAAACTGAATGTTTCAGTTTGAAAATGATCCACTCAATCCATTGCTAACACTTACAATTGTGTCGTTTTCCACCCAAAATGATGCCACTGGCTTTTTGTCAGTTTATTTAGACTAGAAAAGTCTCCAAAAATAAAAACCACTTGGTTCAAAACTAATTTAAACAAGTAACTTAAACTTCTGAAAATATTTATTCAAATGCGAAACCCAAAAAAGCAATGTCTGTTCAAACTAACTAGGGAAGACACAATCTTGCATATATTTATAAATTTGTTTATATATAAATTGTGTGGCTACACAATATATTATAGACCACATGTGTAAAACAGCTCTGCATAATTTATCTTTAACCCTTCATTAAACACTCCCTATCAAACTAATCGAGTTCTTCAGGCTTGTTTTTAACCTCCAGGTAAGTGTATTGAAACTAAACTGTGCTGGAGTATAACAGTCTAATTGAATTTGACACCTTTGTTATAGACGATTTACTTTATATTTTGCACCAACATCATTTACATAGTGTATTTTAGGAACTTCTGTTTCAGTTTTAACTAAATGCAGTACTTGTAAAACAGCAAAATTGTGCTTTATTTTATATGGAAATAAATGGTCAATAGTTTAGATGTGCATACTTTAGTTATAAATTGGCATTCAAAACTATTAGTATAAGAAAGAAAGAAAGAAAGAAAGAAAGAAAGAAAGACATTCACTTAAAGTAAAAATATTAAACAAATATGACCTGCAATTAAGCTCAAACAAAAAAATCTTATATTTTTCTAAAACAAAACTATAAAACTGTTTTAAAACAACAAAATTAAAGAAAAATAAAAAAAACTTGACAAAAGTTAATAAAAGAAAAAGAATGAACAGACACCTGCAACATTTCTAAAACAAACTGCTTTTCAATTAAAGGGATAGTTCACCACAAAATGATTAATTTATTCTTCCTCATGTGGGTTTAACCCTTTTTAAGTGCCTTTCTTTTATTGAACACAAAAGAAGATATTATGAAAAATGCTGGTTGCCCATTGACTTTCATAGGAGAAATAAAATAATACAATTGAAGTCAATGGGTGCAGCAGCAGCATTTTTCAAAATATCCTTTTTTGTGTTAAAATTTGCATTTGGAGGTGAACTATCCATTTAAAATAGGTACACAGGTACACTGAAAAAAAGATTAATTGGATTTACTAATATTTGTTTTTAGGGTAAGGGGTTGCAAACTATTTATATGGGCTGAATTTAAACAAACAAAATAAATGTAGTAATGTTCTACTTAATTTGTTTGCTTAAATTCAGCCCCTATAAATTGCTTCCAACTACCTGTCTTAAAAAATTACAAATCCAATAAATTTTTTTTCAGTGTATGAATTCATTAATATTCTTTATAATGCATCAGGTCACCTCTGAAGGGAAGCCGAAACCTTCAAACTTACTAACATGAGAAAGAAAGAAAGAAAGAAAGAAAGAAAGAAAGAAAGAAAGAAAGAAAGAAAGAAAGAAAGAAAGACTAGACTTCTAGTTGATCATTTGTAAAAGTGGCAGAAGATTGATTTTACCCATTAATCATCTGTTGAACTGCATCACAAATACTGCTGAAGACCTATTGGAGACCTATTCTCACAGAAATCAGTCAAGCTAGGTGAAGGAAAAATCATGGTTTGGGGTTACATTCGGTTTGGGGGTGTGCGAGAGATCTGCAGAGTGGATGGCAACATCAACAGCCTGAGGTATCAAGACACTTGTGCTGCCCATTACATTACAAACCACAGGAGAGGGAAAATTCTCCAGCAGGATAGCGCTCCTTCTCAGAAGGTCAAGATGCGCCAGGATTGGCCAGCCTAGTCACCAGACATTAACATTATTGAGCATGTCTGGGGTAAGATGAAGGAGGAGGCATTGAAGATGAATCTAAAAAATCTTGATGAACTCCGGGAGTCCTGCAAAAACACTTTCTTTGCCATTCCAGATGACTTTATTAATGAGTGATTTGAGTCATGACTTTTGTCTAAGCAAAGTCAGACCTTATTGTTCTAAATAATTAAAAATCAAGGCATTAACATGTTTTATTTTGGTTAAAAAAAAGGATAATCTAGAGGCCTTTGCCTTTCATATAAGCCACTTCTGATACCAAATGATCAACTAGAAATCAACTTATCATTTGTTGTTCCTAAAACTTGGATTGGTGACAAGACTTTTGTCAGGGAGTGTATATTCACTTTATATAGATACAATTATTAAACAAATATGACCAGCAAAAAGAAAGCTAACTTGTATGAATTCATTAATATTTTATCTAATATATCAGGCCACCTATAATGGGAAGCCGAAAGTGTACTGCATACCAGGAATGACCCACATACAGCATCTCTCTCTCTCTCTCTCTCTCTCTCTCTCTCTCTCTCTCTCTCTCTCTCTCTCTCCGTACCTGAGCAGTTTTTCCTATAATTTGTGTTTTCTTGTGGATGTCCCGCGAGGCGGCACTGGAAGCGATGCTGCCAGAATTCAGCAAACCAGGGGTTTCTATTGTTGGTGGCGAGCCGTAGCTTCAGGAAGTAGTCATTGAAGGACGTGACCTCCTCCGTCTGCAGTTTGACCGTGATGCCGCCCACAGCCTCCTCTTCATATCCCTCCACCACCTCATCTCTGTCCGCCCAGCCGTCACTGAAGAAAACAGGCCAGAAAGAGTCTAATTACTCGCCTAATTACCAGCAGCTTGCTTTTCTATCTCTCACCTGCATCGCCCAAATAACACAACGCTGGAGTGCTGTGACCTACTTAAGCACACAATACTCAGCATGCACTTTATTAGGCATTTATTTCAACTTTAGACTGCTCAGTCGTGGGTTTATAATTAATATCGTTTTATTCTTTTACATTTTTTTTGTATTGAAAGGAATAAATAAATGAGGAATACACTTTTTTTTGTCCAAAGATTGCATTTAGCTCTGGGGCCATCCTCAGAAAACATCTTAACCCTTGTGTGCTGTTCGGGATGTTTTCATCCACTCAAGGGTGATTTTGAGGCTTAATTTGGCCACAACTTTCTCGAATTTCAGCAAATGTAGTGATTTTAAGTGACAAATCTTATTTTGACACATACACTCACCGGCCACTTTATTAGGTACACCTTTGTTACAACCCCCTCGTTTGAGTCGCGACATAAAACAGCTCAGACAACAAAAGGATCTATACGCAACTTATTTATTATACATTGAGCTAAAAGAACAAGCAACAAACAAATGTCTAGAGATAAATAAATTAGATAAAGAACTTAACCCTGCTGAAAAATCCAGCTTAAACCAGCCTAGGCTTTTTTTTTTTTTCTTGGTTTTAGCTGGTTGACCAGCCTGGTTTTAGAGGGGTTTTGGCCATTTCCAGGCTGATTTACCGCCTGGTTTTAGCTGGTCTGGCTGGAAAATGACCAGCTAAATCCAGCTAAAACCATCTTGACCAGCTTGGTTTAAGCTGGACATAGCTGGTTTTGGCTGGCTCCCATCCTGGCTAGGCTGCTCAAGCTGGTTTTAGCTGGTCATCTTCCAGCCTGACCAGCTAACACCAGGCTGGAAATGGCTGGAAACCAGCCTGGAAGTGGCCAAAACCCCTCTAAAACCAACCTGCCAAGACTGGTTTAAGCTGTTTTTTTCAGTAGGGAAGATATAATCACAACTAATTTTGACTACATGATATAAATAATGCAAAAGGAAACCATAAGGTTACAGAATGAAAGAGATGGTCTTGACATGAGGACATCAAAGTAGCCACACCATCCTCCAGAAGTTAGTACAACAGTCTTATTTATATACTTTAAACCAACTGGTGAGCAAGCAGGCACCCAATCAGGATCTGCCACATCTAAACTGAAATCCTGGAATCCCTGAAATCCCTAACTGAAATCCTCATCACAACCTTACTCGTACCTGGTTGGACCCCCTTTTACCTGCAGAATTGCCTTAATCCTTCATGGCATAGATTTAACAAGGTAGAGATCATCAGAGATTTTGGTCCATATTAACATAACATCACGCAGTTGCAGCAGATTTTCCTACTGCGCATCCATGATGTAAATCTCCCATTTCACCACATCCCAAAGGTGCTCTATTGGATTGTGTCCTGGTGACTGTGGAGGCCATTAGAGTACAGTGAACTTATTGTCCTGTTCGAGAAACCAGTCTGAGATGATTTGCACTCAGGGCCGGAGTGGGACTTCTTTTCAGCCCTGGAGTTTCAAGCCTTAGACTGGCCCACCTCAGATCACGACTGACTATATTAAAATATTTTCATTTCCAATTCAGTTTCTAATGACACGATCACGTCTTTTTTACGGAAACAGCTGCTTTAGAACTTAAAATGTTTTTCATAAATGTGAGAACATTAAAGGGTAGCTAAATCGCCAACACTATTCTTTAAAACATCACAATGTAATTTCCTGCAATATCTGAATATATATTCTGTGCTAAATTCTTTATAGATATCCAGTCCTTTGTAACGGTCACTGGTCACACACACAAAAAAAAATACAAATAAAATATGTACACCTATATAAGTAACCCAAAAAGTATTATGGCTTAACACTAAAATTAAAAAAAAAAAAACTATTAAGATTCAAACTCGGATCAGCAGCGCCATAACGCAACTTGCTGACCACTGGACCACAATGGCGCTGTTATGCTAGTGTGTTTGGAATGAAAAATAAGTATTGCACTGTCATCTGCAAGAGTCTTTTCACCTCAGTATTGCTTTTTATTGATGGCTTAATCTTATTCTCCCCTTCTTAGAATTTTGATAAAGTTATGCCAGATATATTGATGTAGTGAATCATCTGATTTTCATTGAGCAGGTGTAATATTCATTGATATTAATTATTTGAATTTTTATTTTTACTCAGTGACAATCCTACCTGCCCATTCTAGTGTATTGAGCTCATGACTGGTGCTTGGTAACATTATGGGGTCTGGCTTATCACTGTTAGCAGCAAACTGGACAAGAGGCTGCTGCTGCTGATGAGCTACAGAACAAATAATTGTTTGGTACATATCTGGTGGTTTGCAGACATAATTGTTTTGCACTGCTCCTAACTAGCTTAACGTCAGTGTTGGGCAAGCTACATGACAAATGTAGTGAGCTAAGCTACTAGTTACTCTAATTAAAATGTAGATTAACTAAACTAAAGCTACCCCCTGGGAAATGTAGCAAGCTAAGCTAAAAGCTACATGGCAAAAGTAGCTTAGCTACATCTTAAGCTATTTTTACAATTTTCATTTTTAAATCGAAGCATCTTAAATCCAAGTCAATCATATCTTAGTGATTCATAAAACCGTCAATGAACCATATGAGGCATATTAGTTTAGTTCAGTTATTTACTGTAAATAATATGCTGTACTAAACAGAAACACATTATAGTATATAACAGCTAAAACAAAAAATCCAATAAAAACAGGTGTTACACATTTACAATACTATAGTAATTTATAGTAAAGGGAAATATTTTTGATTATATATATATATATATAAACAATGAACCTCATATGGTTCATTGACGGTTTTATGAATCACTAAGATATGATTGACTTGGATTTAAGATGCTTCGATTTAAAAATGAAAATTGTAAAAATTGAAACTGTTAGTCCAGTTTTCAGAGTTAAAGTTCAGTTTAGTTCACAGGCCTGACTGGTAAAAAGGGTGGTTCTTTTTTCTCAAAATGAGGACTTTTTTGCAGTTATTAACCTCATTTTCTATTCAATTGTTATGTTTAAATAATCCAATAAGTGGCATTTTAAGCATTATTTTTAGCTGGATTAGCTTATTGTATCCTCCATTTTGTGATGTACCAAAAATATTTTCTAAAGATTTTTAATAAACAAATATAAAAAAAGAGCCTCATGAAATTTCTTCTAGCCTTTCTTGAAAACAACAGCCTAATTAATTTAAACATCAAAAGTCAGTCTAAGGCACTCGAAAAATGTGGACAAATTTTTATTTTTTTTAAACTCTTTACTGACATGGCTATTTTTAAAACTGTGCCTACACGTTTTGATAACACTTGTTATCCCCCTCAGCTGATCATTGTGCGTATAGTTAATGAGCAGGCACACAACATTTACAGCAACGAGATCAACCCCGCCCTCACTCTCATCCTAAAGCTTCTCTATAACCCCTATAGTATAAATTCATCTCAGCAGCTTTGTGAACAGGTTTTAAGCGAAAACTCTTTGCTAAAAAACTTTAGCAGAACTCCAAGTGCAAAATGTTTTGTGAATACAGAGTTGGAAGTAAGAGGTGATAAAAATGACTTTAGAAAGCATGTCAGCATCATTATTTTATTTTTACACTGAGACTGGAAAGTCTGCTGGGAAGATTTGTTGACTTCAGCAATCAGTCTTGCATTATTTCCCAATGGTGACAGTTCAGAAAAGGGGGAAAACAGCCACTTTTCACATTCTTCCCCAAAAGTTTGCAAGCCTAAAATGTAGGAAGTATTTTGATGGTATTTAGATTCTGGTAATTAACAAACTTTCTTTTTTCTCTATTTTTAAGACCCTTTTTGAATAGATTCCAGAGATGTGAGAACTTTCGTGTGGATAATATTTCATATACAGTTTATACATTTATTTTAAAGAGAGGTGAAACTAAAAATGTACACCGAGAAAATAATATCTATATATTAAGTAATTATTATTATTTATTCATTATATTTCCTTCAGCTTAGTTCCTTTGTTCATCAGCCAAAAATCCAAATTTTCCAGCATATTTTTTTACACAGCGGATGCTGCAACCCAGTACTGGGAAACACCCATACACGCTCATTCACACAAATACACTATGGCCAATTTAGTTTATTCAATTCCCCTATAGAGCATGTCTTTGGACTGTGGGGTAAAACCGGAGCACCCGGAGGAAACCCACACTACTGTGGGGAGAACATGCAAACTCCACACAGAAATGCCAACTGACCCAGCCAGGACTCGAACCAATGACCTTCTTGCTGTGAGGCGACAGTGCTAACCACTGAGCCCCTGTGTCACCCATTATTATTCATTCATTTTCTTTTTGGCTCAGTACCTTTATTAATCAGGGGTCACCGCAGTGGAATGAATCACCAACTTATCCAGCATATGTTTTACACAGCGGATGTCCTTAATGCTGCAACCCAGTACTGAGAAACACCCATACACTCATTCACACACACATACACTACGGCCGATTTAGTTTATTCAGTTCACTTATAGCACATGTGTTTGGATTGTGAGGGAAACCGGAACACAAAAATAAAACTCACACCAAGACGGGGAGAACATGCAAACTCCACACATAAATGTTTTACAGTATATTTCAGTATTTAATTTTAAAAACAAATATATAATAAAATAATAATCCCATGATTTGATGATTGGTTTAACACAGAGGTGGGCAAACTCCAGTCCACACTTTCATCCGGCCCGCGAGGAAGTTTAAAAAAATGCTGCTTCTGAGTAACGCCTGTTTCACACCGCAAGCGTCAGCGGCGCGTGAGCAGAGCGTGAGCAGCGCGTGTGTTTTCGGCGTCCATGTTAACAGATTAGAGCTTTCATACCGCACGCAGCAGCAGCGCGTCAGAGCGAGGCGTGAGCGTCGCCGAAGCAGCAGTGCAGCGATAGTTTCTGCGCTGGGTCTATTTTTGACGC